AGGAAAAAGGACTAAATATTTTTACAGTATATAATGTAGGAACAAAGAAAAGTGTTGAAGAGATAATGGCGAAAATAATAGAGCAATGCGAAGGATGCGAAGGTAAGGATATTATTATAAGAGGCGATTTTAATATTAGAATAGGAAACTTAGGAGGGTGCAGGGAGGATAAGTATGACTTTGAAAAAAAGAGTAAAGATAAAGCCATAGAAAATGGTGGTAGAAGTTTTGTGAATATGATAAATGAAAAAGGATAGTATTTTTTGAATGGATGTACAGAGGGGGATTGGGATGGGGAATATACGTATGTGGGTGCGAGAGGGTGCTCAGTAATCGATTATACAATTGTAAATGATAGTGCGCAAGAACGAGTGTTGGAATTTAGAATAGGGGACAGGGTGGACTCGGATTATTTGCCTTTGACCTTGTTACCGGAAAAAGAGGAGAACACGAGACAAATAGAGGGGTGGACAGAAGAGGAAAAAGAGGAACAGAATATGTCGAAGAAGATCATATGTTAGAACAAAGAGGCAAGGAAATTATACATGGAGAGGACGAAGGTATAGAATGAAAATGAAGACCAGGAAATAGAGTCGGTGGATAGGAAATGGGAGAAAGTCAAAAACGGGATCCTTGGAGCTTTAGTTTATAAGGAAGTCAAGACTAAAAAGAGAAGGAAAAGAGGTCACAAAGACTGGTGGGATAGGAGCTGCACCAGAAAGAAGAGGGAGGTGAAAAGAAAGTACGGAAGATGGAGAAGTGGAAAGGGAAGTAAAGAAGACTATTTGGAAGGAAAGAAATGCCTGAAGGGGTGGTTAGAGAAGAAAAAGATGGAAAAGAGAGAGAGGGAAGAAAAGGAATTAAGAAGGACGAAAAGAAAATTTGGAACTACATAAACAGTCGAAGAAAGAGGAAAGAATGGAAAAAGAAATATTCCGAAAGAGAACTGGAGAAGTTACTTCATGGAGTTGTTAGGTGGGACCGAGATAGAAGTAAGGAATGAGGCGATGGAGGTGCGTGACATGGGAACAGAAGAAATAAATAAGAAACAGGTTCAAGATACAGAAAGAGAGTTGCAAGAAGAAGAGATAGTGAGGGCAGTCAGGAACATGAAGTTAGGCAAAACTGCAGGTGTCGATGAAATCCCAATGGAAGCATGGCGGTATGGTGGCGCAGCAATAAGAAGAAGTCTAACTGATCTGTTGAAGCTCATTTGGAAGGAAGGTAAAATTCCGACTGAATGGCGAACAAGTATATAGTTGTCCCCTTATATAAAAGGGGAGATAAAGAGACAACAGACAACTATCGTGGGATCTCTCTGCTGTGCACTGCATACAAGTTAGATGCGGAAATACTAAAGAACAGATTGGAAGAAACAATGGAGAAGAAAGGAATGATACCTAACAGCCGGCTTTAGGAAAAAGAGATCTACGATGGACAACATATTTATCTTGAAACATATAGTGCAAAGAGAGAGGGAGAAAGATATGGCAATTGGGAAAGACAAGATTTTCGCAATATTTGTGGATCTAAAGGCAGCATTCGACAACGTAGACAGAGGAATTTTATTGAAGACAATGGAAGAGAAAGGGGTGGAACGCAGTTTAATAAACAAGATAAAAGAAATTTACAAAAAAGACGAAGGTGACAATAAGGACGAAGAATGGGTTCACAAGGTGCTACGAAGAAAGGTGTAAGGCAGGGTTGTGTAATGACCTGCCCTGTTCAATTTATACATTGCGGACATTGATAAAGCTTTAGAAAAGCGTGGCATAGAAGGTGTAAAGCTAGGAGTGAGAGTGTGGTCATTAGCATACGCGAATGATATGGTTTTAGTAGCGAAAAATAGAGAGGCTTTACTAGATATGATGAAGCATGTTAAAAAGATTTAAAAAAAAAAGAAAACTAGAATTAAGTACAGAAAAAACTAAGCTTCACATTTTATTGTGATTGGTCAATTTCTTACGGCTTAGAGCTTAAATATCCTTTAAAGCAAGGTTGTAGACCACTAAAGTGCTGGTAATAGTAAAGGTAAAAAAGGCAGGAAGACATGTAAATGGGACGATAAAATAATAGAAGAAGTAGAAAAGTTCAAATATCTGGGATTCACGTTTAATAGGATAGGTAATTATGCCGATCATATAAAAGAACTGAATAGGAAAGGAAGGATCGCTGCAAATAGAGTCTCTGGGGTTTAGGTGAAAGATTATGCAAAAATAATTTTAATAGGAAGTGGACGCTTTTTAAGTACCTAGTGAAAAGTGTATGGGGGTGGAGTGAAAAAAAGGAGTTGAAAAAAGTCATGTTGGATTATGTAAGATGGGTATTTAGATTAAATTTTTGTACACCGAGGTATGTAATATTAAGGGAACTAGGATTAAAAAAACTAAAAATTGGTTAAGGTATAAGAGCCATGAAGTACGAAAAAAAAAGCAGAGAGAAAAAAGACGGAAGTTTAATAAAGTCATGTTGGGATGAAAAGGACATAATGGATAAAAAGAGAAAGAAAAAGAATTTATATAATTTAAAACAAGAAAGATTTTATAATAACAATGGTTGGAGCTCTGAAGTAATAAAAGAATTAAATAATGAAGGTAAAAATACTGAAGGCTTAGTAAGAATAACCTCTATCTCTTTGTACCTTGCCTCTGCTATTTTACTGTTTATTATTTGCCCTTGAATGTCCTGTTCCCTTATTCAGGATAGAGGTGAGAAACAAAACACTTAGTTATTTTTAAAAGTAAACTTGGATAAAGTAAAAACAGGAGATGAGATTAGAGCAATTTTAAAGTTAAGGTGCGGCAATTTAAAGGACACAAATAAATACTGGCTGGACGAAGAAGATACGAAAGTGTAGATTCTGCAAGACAGGTAGGGACAATTTAGATCATTATATAAGCAAGTGCAATATCACAAGTATGTGGTTTGAGAATCTAGGTAAGCTAGGCGGTTTCTAACTAGGGGGCTTGAGGCGGGGTGAGGGGCGGGGGGTACCATGTTTTCGGGCGCCGCGGGAGAGGGGGAGGGGGGTACCGCGTTTTTGAGCGTCGCGGGCAGGGGGAGGGGGTACCGCGTTTTCGGGCGCCGCGGGGTGAGGGGACCCGCGTTCGCGTTTTCGCCGCTCCGCGGGAGAGGGGTGACCGCGTTCGCGTTTTCGCCGCGCCGCGAGGAGGGGTCCGCGTGCAACAACCGCATCGGTCTGCGTGACGTCACATGGCACGCTCCCGCTCGCGTTATCTCTCCCTCGTTGATGTTTTCTCGCGCCCCCGTTCCCCATTCGCGCGGTCCCTTTCGCTCCCACCCATTATAGTTAGATCATTTTTTTATATTATTTTAAGTGATTTATTTATTGGAAATAAGAGGAAGAATATTTAATAATTTATATGAGACAGATAAAAAAACGGTTAATGATCGCGCGACGATTGCGGCACGCGCATTCTTATCGAGAGTTACCGGTCTGTAATTCTAAACCACTGACGGTGGACAAGGGAACGGTAAACGGAAGGAAAGATAATTTTAGATACAGTGATATGCATTTTAATATACATTTATTTCTCATGTAATGCATCGTGTATAATATTATCTGCAGCATATGCCAACAGTTCACAATCAATAATTGAATTTTTATCATAAAATTCATGCAAAATTCTAACTGCATTACATTTATCAGTGATACAATTTTGGCGTAAAATGGTTACAAATTGTTTAAATTTTTCACTTACGCCATGAACATTTTGGCATAGTTGAAAATACATATTCTCAACGCAATGTTCTAGTTCGAACAGAAAGAGTACGGTTGACGGTTTCATGTACAAGCTGGTGTCGCACGATGTCAATTTTACAATATCTGCGTCACGTATTTTAACGAGTTCCAGATCTCGAAACGCTAGCGATGATGGCACCGGTGACTGCACGAGTCGCTGAATATCTGCACATTTTTCGATGAATGTCATCCACGTTGCATGAGGCAGAATTATCCGATTGCCTCGGTTATCACCAATAAGTATATCCACAGAGGACATAGATCCCGCATTGATTCCAACATCCAAAAAATTATACGCTGTTAATGTCAAGGCAAATCTCCTTCCCAAAATACGAGGCGTGTAGCGGGGTTTATCAAAACTAAAAAAATACAATTATGTTTATAAAAGTTTTTTTTGCACAAGTATATACGAAAATTAGCGGTACTTACTCATTGTGCTGTTTCTCGCACGTTTCATCCTGAATCGGAACATAGTAGTTCGCACCGTGAGTGTTTATTGTAACTGGAGGCTGTTTGCGACGTACTCGAACCGTATCAAACTCTTGACTGCGCGCGCTAGAATTCTCGTAGACTATTTATACATACAAAAATGCGAATCTTGCAAATAGCGCCGATATAAGGCTGCTGCAGGGTGACCACCACTACCACAATCCACATATATGTTAAATGTGATATCTTTGTCAAGAACAATTGTGATGAGATCACCTCATCGGGCAATAGCATCAAATAGGATTTTTTTTCAAGAACATGTCGCAACGTGTCTCGCGATGATTTCATCGAACACGTGCAAAACTGCAAATTTTGCAAATAGCGCCGATGTATGGCTGCTGCAGTTATACAGATCAAATCACCGAAAGTCAATGGCGCGATATCGTTTTCAAGAACATACATGTCTCGCGATGATTTCATTGCACACGTGTAAAACTGCAAATCGTACATTTTTTCGGAAGGCGCAAATGTACGGATGCTGAGATCATGGTGAAATTAAATATGATAAAAAAAAGCAAACGATGCATTATTAGTAGAATATAAAATAACAAATCTGGGGGATACGCTCAGTAGTCAAGAATTGGAAGTTGTGAGTACAACAAATTGCGTTAGAAAAAGGATCGTGTAATAACATGGAGCAAGAGTTGTTGGACCAATCCACCCTATTAAATTTGCGGAAAGAATTTACCGCGTGGGAAGAACGATGTGACGAGTTTATCGAATCGTTGGAAGAACAAAGCCGAATTAAACGGCCGCGATTATCGATTGGTCTTAAACAGTCATTGATCGCTTGTATCGCACGACTCAAAGGTCTGAAAGATTCGGTACGTCAACGGTTTCGTACATGTGGGTGCCGGATACAGTGCGAGTGAGACTGGACTCAAATGGCGCGAGATAGATACGACTTTTGAAAGTCGTATACTGACTGGTGTGGTAATAAATTCCAAACACATCGACCCTCGTCAACTTCTCAAAGATGCGAGAAACATTGTACTTGATCATGTGCGAAATGTCATGCAACGACATGACAATGTAAAGATAAATACAATGTTTAATGGTGAATTTGTTGCAGGTAACAATCGCGTGAATAAAAGTATCGCAACGAGAAACCGTGAACTCTTTCGTATGGCCGTTCGGTACTGCGCGAGTGGTACAAACGACACGTTATCGAGCCTACCCTAGTATCGCTGGAGGAATTCCAGGAACGTGATAGCGGATGGGCATTGTCGCGCATACTTAATTTGACTGTTAACGTAAACAAGTACAATTCATTGCACGCGGGGTGTTTTGTGGAAATACCGCGAGAAATTAAAATAAAGAGAGCGGTGATAAACGTGCGATCAATGGATAATGCATGTTTTGCATGGTCAGTGACGGCTGCTCTGCATCCAGCCCAAAGAAATGCAGATCTGGAATCGTCGTATCCTCATTACACGTCGGAACTATGTATGTATGTATCCGTTTATTGTGTATTTTCGTAGGGTTTACAAGGCGCTTTTTTTACGAGGAACGTTCCCAAACCTCTTACAAACAACAAACAAACTGTCTTACAAAAAAGAATCAACCCCCATCGTTCATTTCCTGGCCTTATGCGACCTCACAATAAATCTTTTTCCCTTCCCTTAGCCCTTCCCTCTTCTTTCGCCTCTTCGTTCGTCTCCTTCCGCATCATCCTGTCTCGGTTCTTCCTTCCTGTCTACTTCCTGTTCTGGGTCTGTTGCTCATCATCCGTGCCCATGAGGAGTTTGTCCTCCATCTCTTTCAAAATCTTCTCCACCTCCGTCGTCTTCACACTCCTGTTCTCCTCCGACACCCTTTCCCTCCTGCTCTCCTCCATTCTCCCTCCTAATCTCCCCTCCCACTCCGCTCTCTCTCTTATTCTCGCCTCCACCAACCTGTCCTCGTCTATCTTTACCCTTAACCTACTTCCCGTTTTCCTTCTTGCCTCTAGAACCCTCAACTTCTCTTCCTCATTCCCCAGCCTAACCAACAACGTTACCCAATCTCCCCTCGACCCTACCACCCTCACCTCTCTTACCTCCGCCTTCACCCTCAGGCCCTCCACACAAAGCTCCCTCACCTTCTCCACGCTCGATTTCTCTTCTACCCACCTCTCCTTCTCGATCCTTATTATAACATTCTTCCTCCTTGTTTTCTCATCGTTTCTCTCATCCTCTCCTGCCCACCATTTCCTCTTCCCCGTCTTCCCTTTACTCTCTTCACACTCCTCCCTCTTTTTCTTTTCCCCTCTTTGCTCCATTCTTTCCATCCTTCCTTTAAGACTCTTTACCTCCTCCTTCAATTCCTCCATCTCCTTTAGCACCCTCTTCACTTTCTCCTTTACTACCTTCTCCACCACCTCCTTCTCCACTATGCAGCTTCCTTCCATCCCGAGCTATCTAAAACACGTGAGGATTAACTTTACCATTTGCAATTATTTCCTCTCGTCTCCCTTCCTCTGCTTCCCTCTCACATCCTCCTCACACCCTCCGCTCTATCGCGCTTACCTCTTTCGCTTCCACCTTAACTTTCTCCCCTTTCACCACCAAGTCTTTCTACGCTCTCCGCTTGCTTCCCTCTACTATTCTCCCTCAACTTTGACTTTCGTCTTCTACCGCTACCAGTACTACCGACAAGCTCACTATGCCTTGCTGCCACCGCGTGCTCGTCTTCCTCGCTCGCACCCCTCTTTGATCTATCGATCCTATCGATTTCTCGCTATCGTGCGGACCCGGCTCTCCCGTGCGCCATCTACATCCCCCGCTACGGCCCGCACCTGCGACCCTATGTTTTCCCGCGCTGTCCTCGACGCCCCGCAGTGGTGCCAACCCTCTTTTTAAAGCGGCCGACACCCCACGCCGTCTCGATTCCAGCCGCGCCCCTCCCCAACCTTATCGCCACCGCTCCGTCCCGCCGCTCGCGCACGCGCCGAGCACCGCCCTCCTACGTGTCGAGTCATTTGTCCCCTTCTGCCGTCCCCTCCCCTTCATCCTTCTTTCTTCCTGCCTTAACCTCTAAATTCTTCCCTCCGAAATTCCCGTTTCGTGCTCCATCCACCTCTCCCTCGAGGCCTTCTCCATTTTCCCGGCCTCCTCCCTTTCTCCTCCGTCCTTACCTCCGCTCCGTTCCCATCCTCCTGCCTCGCCTCCTCCGCAATACTCCTTTTTTTTACTTCTCACCTCCAATCCATCCGACCGGTCCGACAACCCCCAATCCTTCCGTCTACACGTCGGTACTAAATCTTACAAACATTGAGTTTCCAATGACGTTGGATCAAATAAAAAATTTTAAAAATCACAACAAGCCAGCGAGCCGCGAGTGGTCACGTATTTTGAAGGGCACTCGGCCTCGTGGTTGAATAACGTATCCGGGCCCTCGAGGAAGGCAAATATTGCGTTTGGCGGGACGGGAAGATCGTCGGGATCGGCGCGGAGCCGCGGAATCTCAGGACTTGCGACGAATTCAGGATTCGTGTGGCAAGTCGCGAGATCGTCCGCGATCTCTCCTTAGTCGTACACTCTTGACAGAGTGGTCATGGTTATGAATTTTTTACATTGTTTCCGTCGAAGTTCTTGCAATTTGCCTCCATCTGTCTCTGTTTGTGGCACTGCGGGAACATTCTGTAATAGAGCATTTTGTTGCCGATTTTAGGAGATCAGTCCATCTAGTCGGGGATCGGCCGCGTGGGCGTTTGCCTTCCACTCTGCCCTGTACTACCAGGCGTTGCATGGAATCTTTATTACGTGTGATGTGTCCGAAGTATTTTAAGACCCGTAGCCGAACTGTCGATGAGAGCCTATGCTGTATGTTAAACTCCTTTAATATGGAGGCGTTGGTACGTCGTTCGGTCCATCTTATCCTCAGGAGACGTCGCCAGCACCACATTTCTAAAGCGTCTATTTTTCTGTGGTCTTGTCGTCGAATCGTCCATGTTTCAGCTCCGTAAAGGAAGATGGGGAAGACAAGACATTTCATTAGGCGGATCTTTGTGTTTTTGGTTATTTTTTGGTCTCTCCAGATTTTTGTAAGTTTGTCAACTGCCGACCTGGTCATGGCACAACGTCGTTTAATTTCTTTCTCGCATCCTCCCTTATTGGTGATCATAGAGCCAAGGTAGGTGTAACTGTGTACAACTTCACAATTGGCTATACTTCTAACATCAGGTCTGTTATCAGCCATCCGATCCACAATCATCATCTTGATTTTGTCTCTGTTGATCGCGAGACCAAAGTTGAGGCTTATTCTTTCCAGGAGTTGAAAGAGGTTTAGTATGTCTTCCTCAGTTGATGCCAGAAGAGTGGTATCGTCAGCATATCGCAAGTTAGATATCAGCCGTCCGCCCACGGATACAACTTTACCCCATTCCTCTAGGGCAATTCGCATGATATATTCCGTGTAAATATTGAATAATAAAGGTGAGAGGATATATCCCTGCCGAACCCCAGCACGAACCTCGAAGTCTCCGGAATCGATTCCATCTACCCGGACTGCCACTGTACTCCCTACGTACAGTTTTTTTATGATATATACCAGGTGATATGGCACGCCCATTTCTGTGAGAACTTCCCATAATTTGTTCCATTTTACAGTCAACGAAGCATATGTATAGTTGGTTGTTGAATTCTCTGGCCTTCTCTATGATTTGTCTTAGTATGTGCATTTGCTCTCGCGTTCCTCTTCCCTTTACAAAGCCAGCTTGTTTGGGTGCGATTTCTCGATTCAGGTACGCTTGCAGCCTAGTATTCAGAATGTGCAGTAGTACTTTGCTGGCATGGGATATGAGGGCAATCGTTCTGTAGTTGTTACATTTTGTGGTTGAGCCCTTTTTATGTAGTAAGATGAACAAGGAGTGACACCAGTTTTTAGGCCATTCACCGGTATCCCATATCTGAGAACAGATGATGTGCAGAATATCCACTCCAAATTCTCCCATATCGCTGATTACCTCGATGGGTATTTCATTTCATCCGTTCCTACTGCCTTGTCTTGCTTTAGGTGTTTAATTGCAGCTCGTATTTCATTTCTCAAAATACCGGGTTCCCGTTCAGAGTCTGCAGTAATTGAAATGTGGTCGGATGCATCGTAAGTATCAGCAAATAGAGTCACGCAGTACTTCCGCCAGACCTCCACAATTTCCTTAATCTCTGTAACGCAGTAACTTGCAGAGTTCTCTATGGCCCAGTTCTTCGGCTTGAATCGTCTAGTGATGGTTCTAATCTTCATGTATAGGTCCTTGGTTTCAAACCTTTGAGCGTTGTACTCTAACTCTTTGCAGATGGTTTGCAAGGCTAGGTTCTTATCTTTACGACAAACAGCCTGTATTTTGGAGCTAAGAGAATTGAGTTCTCATGCATCAACACCTTTTATTTTCAACTTGCGGCGTTGTTCCACCAATTCCCAGGTGCTGTCGGACATCCAGTGTTTATGCTTGGTTGCAGTTATCTTGGGCTGAGATTTCGACACGGAATCTTTTATAAACTTTTTGGCCGATTGCCATATGTAGTCTGGATTTTCATCTTGTGTCTCATTTAACCATCTTGGTGTTTCTTTTTGCAGTACCTCGATGAATAAATCTTTGTCTGTTATTTTCATTCGCTTGTTTGTCTTCTTGCTTATGGGTTTACGCAGCTTTAGTTTAATATTGCATATTAAGAGTTTATGGTCAGAGAGGCAATCGGCACCCGGTAGTGTGTGTGTGTGTGTTGGATATTGAACTCCTCCATTTTTCCCTTATTATGATGTAATCGATTTGGTTTCGATGTTTTCCATCTGGAGATGTCCAGGTGTATAGTCTTCTAGGGTGTTGTTTGAATATTGTGTTCATAATGGTCATACCGTTCTCGGTAGCAAACTGTAGAAGACGGTCACCTCTATCGTTCTTAGTGCCCAACCCATAATTTCCAATTATGTTGCGCAAATTCATATCCATGCTGGTATCCCCTATTTTCGCATTAAAGTCACCGAGTACGATTAGAAGTTCTTTCTTAAGGTCGGTCCAGAATGAGTTGCAACGCGCAGTTGCGAGTTGCGGAGTGGCAAGTTGGCAGTTGCAAGTTGTAAATCATTGCAACGCCTAATCCACATATAGATGTCAAGAGTTGCAAGTTGTGAAGAAATCGCCAATCAGGTTTCGCTTCGCTTTTTCGTCGTGCATGAGGAGTCACCTTTAACTTGTATTTGAAGAAGTTGTCTGTGTCAGATAGATTATATACAAAATATTAAAAATGTTGCGAAACAGAAAGAAACATCTAAAGCGTCTGCAAAAATTATTGGTAATACTTTCAATATCATGGAATTATTATATGGCAACAAGTAGTGATGTATTACAAAAATTGTCAAAAGTAAATAGAAGATGGTGGGTGAGACCAGTTCATTTTGATAAAGAGAAATGCGGCCACTATGACAATTTATTCCATTATCTTCTGAATGAAGATCATGAATTATTTTATAAAGACTATAGAATGTCAGCAGAACAATATGATCATCTCCTCACTATGGTACAGCCACAGTTGCAAAAGTTTTTCAAAAGGATTCCACATCCACCAAGTTTGCGCTTAGCATTGACATTATCGTAAGTAATCTAATTTTTAATGTGTTGAAATAAAGTCGGTAAAAGATTCAGCATGCAAATAATTTTTATGTGACAGATTTCTTGCTCATGGAGACAGCGTGAGTACAACAGCAAGAGGATTCAGAATTGGAAAATCTACAGCGTACGAAATAATTTATGAAACTTGCAATGTCATCTGGAATGTACTTCAACCAATTTATCTTCCGAAACCAACGGTAGAATCATGGAAGAACATTGCTGAAAAGTTTTATACAATTTGGAATTTTCCAAATTGCATCGGGGCGGTAGACGGAAAACATATTCAGATCCAGTGCCCTCCTAAAACAGGAAGTCTATACTACAATTACAAACAATTTTTCAGCATAGTGCTAATGGCTGCTGCTGATGCAGAATATAAATTTACTTGGGTCGATATAGGAGATTATGGTGGGTTGTTTGGAAAGTGATTGTATTATGTTCTTTGTTATTAATAGTTAATCTTATACTTGTTGTAGGTAGTATGAGTGACGGAGACGTGTGGGCTGAATCCGCACTAGGTTCTGCTCTGGAGGACGGCTCTCTTGATCTGCCATTGTCATGTTTCCTCCCCAACACAAATATAATGTTTCCACATTTTTTTGTGGGGGACGAGGCTTTTCCGCTAAAAACTTATATGATGCGGCCATACCCAAAGAAAGATTTAAGTGGTCCTGAGCGAATTTTCAATTATAGACTCTCTAGGGCACGTAGAGTAGTTGAAAATTCTTTTGGCATACTTACTACTAAGTGGAGAGTACTGCGACGTTCCCTGTGCTGTTCTCCTGATAATGCTGAAGTGATAGTAAAAGCATTAATATGCCTCCATAATTTTCTGCTTACTAAGGAAGGAGGTGTTGGTGGACGTTATTGCCCTCGTGGTCTATTAGATCATGAGGTTAATGGTATTGTTGAACCTGGTGCTTGGAGAAATGAGAATAACTCACCCCATATACAAGAATTACATAGAACTGGTTCTAACAATGCTGGAAGAGCAATAATTAATTTAAGGAATGTACTTCGGGATTATGTAAATAGTGACGAGGGCGCAGTTGAATGGCAATGGGACCAAGCTTTTCATAATATAAACATGAATCTCAATTGACTATGTTAATTGTTTATTAACTATTAGTAATATTTTTGATATTGTGTATGAATCTGCATATGAAATGTTTCGTGTATAACAAAAACTTTGTGTGTCTCATAAGAAATTTATTGCATAGTATAATAAGGTAATAATAAACATATCACATAATAAAAGTATTTATTTATTTAAAATAACATCATTATAGTCCATTATTTATTATATATATCATCATATACCATTTGTCCATATATATATAATGTAACATCCATTATTCTCTATTATTTAACATACATATTAGCATCTCTATAAGGAACATGCAACATTAAATAAAAATAGGAAATACGATAATGAACACAAGGATTTCCTTTACCAATCTTAAAGAAATACTGAAAGTAACAATTATCTTCCAAACTAACTAATTATACATGTAGCAGGTCGAACAATCACAGATATAGGAACACTTGGCGTAAGTAATAAAATAATATAAATTCTTGTGCTGTATTACATACGATACACAAATGTCAATAATGTGTATCTTATAATAAACATAAAAACCAAAAGTTGAACGTCATAAGAACTTAAAAAAAGAAATTAAACTGTATTGCTGATATACTGCTAAATTGGCAAAAATTATATTGCACATAATATTAGAAATAAAATAAAAAAAATCATATAGTGCAAACTCCAATAGAGGTATATATCAGTCAAATATTAATTATTCCTTCATTTTTTAAATTAATGCTTGTTTTTTTTTCCAAATTCTATCATAGCATTCAGCAATGTCTGTAGACATTCAGTCTTTTGGTCATCATTTAGATTCTTAAATATAGGCAGAAGACAAGCAAAATATTGAAGATCATCACTTCCACTTGGCTCTTTCAAGGATTGTGTTACTGCGGTAAGTGTTTCCTTCATACACTCAGATGCTTCTGACATACGAGCTGAGCAAGATTCAAGTTCCTTCTTCCTTTTCGTGTAAAATTTATCTGTTGTAGGAACTTTGCGTTTAGACTTCATGCTAAATGAATATTTCTTACTTTCACTTTCGTTAGTAGACATAGATTTTATTTGTTCACAGCTGCTTGATGACAATGTTTCAAGATGTGAAGAATCATTTGTAGAAACCACTATTATTTCACTACTTGGTGTTTGCGTGAGGAGCGATGCAGAACCTGCAAATTTAAATGTAACATGTAGATTAAATTAATTGAAAACAATTATAACTGAAATATTTTTGAATATATATTATATACTTGGATTTTCAGGTAATATAAAGTCTGCATTCTGCAAAGGCAATGATTCAATTGCAGTACATTTGATTGTGTTTTTATCTGTTTCTCTGGCTGATTTAAGAACCGAATTTCCACTGTTTGAAGGAGAAGCCAAGTTTGAAGGAGAACCCAAAGACGCAGGAGAGATTTGAAGTTGTTTGTTATGAAAATTTGATGTTCTGTTTAATCTGAGACAATAAAACAGGAATGAAAATATTAATCATACTTCAAACATCATATAAGTGCATACAATTATGAATAAGAAAATGAATATATCTTCTATAAATGATATCATTTGTAATTTACTTGTGACGTATATGTGGTATAAGAAATTGCATATCACCCCAGTACTCCCACTCAATTTGTGATATTTTTTCTTTTGCATCAGCTCCGCTCCCACTTGGCATTTTCTGCTTTAACTGCCCCAATTTGCGACTGAATACAGTTCTCAATGATTTCCATTTCTTTTGTACTTCTGTCTCTGAAATTAAAAGTAGAATAAAGATATGTATAATAATTGATTTTAACCAATTTCAATTAATTAATCCATGATTAGCTAGCGGAATAGTCAGATAATATTGGCTATTTTTGCCAATTAATCGAAGTTTAATGAAATAATAGTGTAAACACAACAAGAAATAAATAAAATTATTTGGTGTCTGACAGCTTTGAGGCTATATTGAGGTTATAGATTAAAAGTAACCTCTAATTTTACACAAAGACGGTACATAAAAAAAATACCTGATTTATTGAGTAACATTGCAATTATTTTCCAAGCATCATCTTTTTTTTCTTTATTCTTGAAATCTCTTTCACTTTTATTAACTAGGAATTGATTTGCTTTTACGTGTGCAATTAGTGATCGTATATCGGATTCATCCCAATTTTCTCCAACTTCTTCAAACATATCCAACTCGTTTTGCTCTTCAATATCCATTTTGTTTTGTACAAATAACGAAATGCTAAGATATCTACCAAAAATTACATTACACCATTTGTATCACACATAACCTTCATCTGTGGTACTCGTGTTTTCACTTTTCGCGCCCTTCCTGAACTCGATACTTATTGGTTGAGATGTTGAGATTGCCAGTTGCAGTCGCCAAGAAGTTAAAAGTTGGGCAACTCTCGTTCGGCAACCGCAACTGTCTCTTGCAACCGGAAATAGCACTTTGCAACTAGTAGTTGCCATCCTTTGCAACTGGCAACGAGGCGTTTGCAACTCATTCTGGACCGACCTTTAGGGATCTTGTTTATGGATGTTTCTAGTTGATTGTAGAAATGTTCCACCACTTCGTCTTCTGCGGTGCTTGTGGGAGCGTAGGCTTGTATGATGTTGAGCGGAGTCGGAGATGCACTGAGTTTGATGGATATTAATCTTTCGTTAATTGGATTATAGCCTAAGACAGATTTGTTCCATTGTTTTGGTATAGTAATAGCCACTCCAGCAAATCCGTTGGTTTCATTTCCCGAGAAGTAGAAGGTGTGTTTCTCCGTGTCAAAATGACCATTTCCCTTCCAGTGGGTCTCGCTTATACCCGTAATTGTAGTGTTACATCGTTTAAGCTCTCGCTCCAGTATATCGAGTTTACCATCCTGGTGGAGTCCCCGCACGTTCCATGTGCCTACGCGGATATTCTTGCGTAGTTGTATGTTCCTTCCAGTAGCATAGTTTCCACGGGGTGCCTGGTCGCCTGCACTCCTTGGCCGGTATCCCATTTCACACCCTGATTTCCGGACAGACCAGGGCGCCGGTCGCTACGCGGATCGCCAGGCAATCTCATATCCTTTGTGTGTGTCATTTATAACTCTCGTGGGAGGATAGTGGGGTGGTTTCCCGTTGCCTTCCACACCGCTGTACAGAAGCCGTTCTATTGGATGCCATAGCGCCTTCTGCTATCTGGTTCACAGCCAGCACCACTGGATAGCCAGCTGCCACTACCCTGCGCTAGTTTTGGTCTACCCCGAGTATTTCATTTCCTCGGTACCACCCATATCTGGGAGGCTTTCCCCATTCCGCCACCTGGGGAGGCACCCGATGGAGGACTAACAACCCCACACGGTATCGCCGATACCCCCTCTTCCTCCACACATCCACCTGGGAAAGCGGTGATCGTGAAGGGTGAGTTCCCCATTGGGAGCGGGGTTCGACTTGGTGACGTGCCCCGAAAATTCCGGGGACACGTGCACCCAGTAGCCACCGCCGCCTTCCACCAGATCCCTGTCCCAGGTCCCCAAGAAAAACCCCCGCAGGATTTGTGATACCTGCCTGGGATTGAACCCGGATCTCCAGAACGTGAATCCGCTGTTTAGCATTAGTGACTACAACTCAGCATACGAGTCCTTATATCGTGTTCGGGGGCAATCGCCGGCTAGCGTGGCCGATACGGCGAGCTCGCCCGTAATTTTTGCGTCGTGCGGAATCGAGGTGGCCCGGGTACGCGTCGAAGACGTAAGTGGAGGCGTTGCGATCCGATTGGTCGGCATCGCGGCGTAAGTATTCGTTGTGCGTTCGTAGTGAAGTACCGCGTTACCTTAGGTTATTGTGAATATTGTCTTTGTGTAAACTTTCCTGCGTTCATTTATTGCGTTAGCTTCGCGTTCATTCCTTGCGTTGATCTGTCGTGCGTTCGTCTGCGTCGACTATCTTTGCGTTCGTCTGTTGCTTTATTCTTTCGTGCGTTCCTCTATCCTGCTGAACATTCGACATTATCGCGTTCATATATTCTAATATTCCGGTGTTACGCTATCCGACATTCTCGCATCCGTTTACTGCATTAGTTTTTCGGGCATTCTTGCGTCAACGTACCCGACATCTTTGTGGTAATCTATTCAACATCCTCGCGTTAGCCCGTTTCATCGGCGTCGATTCTCAGCCGTTGATCTCTCTTTACCGCATGGTCTGATTACGAATATGATACGCTCGAACACATTATACCTACATTTACACTGACTGATATTACATTGCAAACACATTATATCTGCACCTACACTGACTACTCAAATATATTACATGTAATTCTTTTATTATGTTTTTGTGTGGTTAATTGCGTTACGCCTTCTCTCCAAATTCCCTGAAAGGAAACTACGTCCTGAAGTATTGTCGGGGATATCGCGTTGTATAGAGTATTGTACGGTGGTGCGATTAGTCGCGCCTGGCGCCCAATTATTGTGTGTCTCAGTTTGGCTTCGCGTTCCGTCAATCCACGATTGCCCTCCCCCGCCGGATTGCGAGACCGAGGGAAAAAACGTCGCAACCCATGGCAGATTTTACGCGAGACATAAAAAATTTAGCAGCGCAACGCACTGTCACGTGTGCGAAAAACCGTTTAGGCCAGACGACGTGCGAGTACGCGACCATTGTCACCTGACCGGCCGATACAGAGGTCCCGCGCATTCTAATTGTAACTTAAATTATAAAGATTCGCATTTGTTACGGAATGCACCCTTAATTGATTTGCACGGTTTAACCGATTCTAGAAATATTCTAAACGATTCTAGAAAAATACACGATTTTAGAAGTATTTGGAAGCGCTTTGTGACATCCCACTCTCGGTACCCCTCGACCTCTCACCGACACACTTGTTTGCATGTGTTGGAACATAAACATATTGTTTCGAGGTCCTTATATGGGCATAACATGACAACTCTTAATCTAATTGGTTCTAACACAAAACTTCGACACAAGTATATGTGAGGTGAGAGATGGGGTATGGTCGTGGCCAAAAAGGTTGTCCGACTTTTTTTTATAAGTTTTGGAACGCACTCTGTCATGTGAGAGACATGTGATAACCTAAAGTTTTGCAGTGACACATTATCGGAGCAGACGGACAGTCTATACAAGGTGTCAGAAAAGTTTAAAATACCAGTTAAAGTAAGCACGTGTATTTGACGTAAGGAACAAAGCCCGTCATAAAGAGGAAAAAGGAGAAGAAAAATATGAGCAGAGAATGGTAAGTAAAATGACCAGTGACCAATATTAGAAAAGAAATGTAAGATATATATTAATAATATACCCATAAGAAAGTATAAATAGATATTTCAATATACCTGTAAAAAAGAAATTTATTGAAGTATAATTTGTTTAAACTAATAGATAAAATATGATGAAGTCACATTAGATTTCAATGTAAATTAATAAAAGTCTTGTTGACATTAATTGAATTAAATTGAATGTAATGTAATCCTGTCATGTTCTATCTGTTATATCAAACAGTATATTTTATTACAATTGGAAAAATAATATGCATGAATATTACAGAAGAAACAGTGGTTCGAGACGTGGAAGAAAGCTTTTAGTCAACGATAGACGCAGGTATGATGATAATTAATGTTTAAAACAACATTTTTTACACAACACTAATGAAGAATTTGTCAGCATAATTAAGAATTGAGAGATTAAATTAAATTAAAATAACTTCAATTAAATTGTCATATGTCTGCTTGCAGGTAAAAGGGGAGGCAGCGTTGAACAGAGGTGAAAGAAGTATACTTAATGGGATCTGTGGGAAAGTTGGAGCTGGCTGTGAAAAAATGTAAGAATCTTCATAAAACTGAAAATATGCACTTGGAGATGAGAGAAAAAATGAGGGATTCGAAGAACTTGCTGAAGGAGAAGGAAATACGCAATATTAAACAATTAAGAGGTATGAAAAATCAACAAATTCAACAACAAGGTAAGCTGCTGAACTGATAAAATTTCTCTTACATTGAGAAATTGTAGTGTATTATATTGCAAACTTTTACAAGCCCAAGGTAAATGTCCTTGGCGTAAACAATTAAAGCAGCCCTTATGATTCTTTAAAACCTCGACTCGCTGTAATGGATTGATTGAGAAACGTTTTGCAATGATTTAAGGGGTGATTCCCGTCGTATGTCAAGCACTTTCCGTTATTCGTAGAAACCTGATGCGCCTTAACGTTACTTGTTTTATTTGACTTTTTTGTTTTAGACTTATTAGAATTCTGACTACTACCAACGGCCTTGAGCGCCCGAATTCGCGAAGTGAGAAAGGCGTCAAGTTTCTCGATACTTGGAATTTCTCCCGTATCTCCCAGTGAGAGCTCCCAGTCGCGCCGAGTGTCTTTATCAAGCTTTGAGACAGCAACAAATAGCATTAAATCTTCCCATTGATTAACGGGTTGTTTCAAATTTAACAATGCCGTATAAATATCGTTAGTCTTTGTCTCGCAGGTTTTCTAAATCACTCACGGAATGGGCGCTCACACAAGGAATATCCATGAACGCTTGGAGATGCGCATTCACTTATAGCTCGCGGGTTATCATAACGGTTTCGTAACAATTCCCACGCGGTATTATAATTAGCGTCGGAGACGTGAGTGTTCGACAAAATTAAACTCGTGGCTCCGGTTAAGTTCGCCTTAAGGTAATGTAATTTTTGTACATTCATTAAATCGGTTCTATTCGCGACTAACGATTCAAAAACGTCATGAAAATTCTCCCACTTCGTGATCTCTCCCGAGAATTTAGGGATATCAATTCTCGGTAATTGAACTATCGAAGATCTCGCCTCATGCGATACAATAGAACCGTCAAAATTAGCCTGCGCGGTTTCCGGTTGCAAACGTTCAAGATAGTCTGACAATACGTCCATGATCTCCTCAACGGAGTCGTTAATGGATAAAAACTTATCTTTCTGGAAGTCCTTCTAGCGTATCCCCTCCGCAAGGGCGCAAAGCTTCGCATGATTGACCTGGATGACGTCCCAGTATTCTTTGAGACTATTGATACGGCTTCGAACGGCTGACACGCTTTTCTTCGCCTTGGCGAGCTTGTTGAAATTCGTCAGGATCCGGATGATTAACGTCTGTGTGCTGGTCTGTACGGCCAATAGTTCCTCCATCGACTTCATGGCGAATTTCGTACCTCGTTCTTGCGGTCGAACAATGTAATTGCGAGCCTTTAATTGAATATGAGTGAGAGATTATCTCCTTATAACTGTATAGTCACTCTCACTCCGTTGTGCGGTGAACCGTACGCTCTCGAGTTCGGCGCAGCCAATGCGTGGTGGGGCAGGAACGACCGCGCGTTACTGTTGGCTCGGCGCCTTATACTCAGCTGATCGCAAAGAGTGCGTGCGACAGAGAGGCTTGTTTCACGCGCGAAGAGCGTGTTGCTGGAGTCTGACTATAGTCTGTATGAGCGAGAAAGCGTATGCTTGCGTCACATTACATATTACAGATCGCGGATTCTCGTGGTGCCGGGCTGTCGACCTGCGTCTCCTCGCGTTGAGTAGACGAGTTGGGCGCTCCACGTAAAATGTAGCCGTCTCTATCATTGGCCGTGTCCTGACATCTCGAATCTTTCGAGTTGTGAACGTCCGTTCCTTTTGTGTCCGTTTGTTCGCTCCGAATCCGGCTCGAAGGACCAATGTTTCCGCGTTTTATGATTGCTGGATTATCGTAGAAAGGATGCACTCTTCGGAGGGTTGAGAGACACTCGAACAATGTACAGACAATTTACAGGACACTTTATTACGTATCTAATTACAGTCTTAGTTTAATTATTGCCTTTACAACTTGCGATAACGAGATTCGCGATCTGCGCGTGTGACTTTCTTTCGATCGCTCCTTTGTCAGACTGACTTTCGGTTGGGAGGACTTCGTGTACATACAAGACTGTAATTAGAAATTTCCGATAATTCTACCGAAGTCTAGGGTCTCTGAATTAATTATACGCCACACTCATGTCCTCGCGTTACACGGCGGGCTTCAATTGACCCTGCGACTATTGCGAGAACAATACTGGATACTCCGGGCGCGTAACCTTGTTAAAGCCTGTATTTCAAAGTGCGTTACGTGTGTACGTCACCAGGCGATTATGTCGCATCAACGTATGGGCGACCTACCCGAAGTTCGCGTAAAACCGGCCCGTCCCTTTGCTAATACTAGTCCAGTCAATGTAGGAAAACACTTGGAAATTTCTCCTCGAAGAGTAAACTTTTTTGGAAAGTGTTTTTTTGGGTTTCAGAAAACATGTCCCAAAAGTTTACCAACGTAAACCCTGTGCTAAATGTTTTATTTAACAAAAAATACCGAAAAAATCGATTTTTTGAGTATAACTAAAAAAACATTAATTTTATGAAAAAATAAACCATGCCAATCGAAAGAAGAGAAAATTTTACTGAAGAAACATATCTAAAGTTTTCTTAATATTAATATATGTAGGAGTAATAATTTTTTAATTAACGCTTCAAAGTGCGTCGATGCCGTCCCGCGTGAAGCCGCCTACAGAGTACGCGGGCGTGCGCGCACTTTTTAAAAAGAGTTGTAACTTTTGATTGGATCGATAGAATCAAATTTTACAAAAAGCATTCGAAAGTAGACGTAATTTACTAATTTTCAAGTGGTTTAGAAAAATTGAGAAAGCATTTTGAGTATATTTAAATCGAATTTGAAGAGAGGCGATGTGAAATTTTTGACTTATTTTACTAATATCATTGCCATTTATTTAAATTTGCAGATTTTCACTTCTAAATTAAAGCATTATATTCTTAAAATATGTGCTGATAACATGCAATAAGTGAAAAAAATTACAAAAATTTATTTTTTAAAAGTTGGGACCTCAAAGTTGATTTCTTGAAATTTCGTTATTTCAAAATTGATCAACAAGTTTGACTGCAGATATTATTGCTTAGGAAATAGATATTGAAATTTAATAACAGAGTTTTTTAAAGCTGAAAATATGTACTTTAAGATGATACATGTTTTATTTGAAAAACAAAATATTAAGCAGGTGTATTTTTCAAAAAAGTACATAAAAATAAATGTCGAATTAGAAAATATGAAAATTTCTCTATTTTCAAAGTCAAAAAAATAATAGAAAAAAATTTTTTTTTGAGAAAATAACTTATGGGATGTTGTACCTTGGGTCTTAAACTTTAAGACTGTATATCGGAAATATTTTTTTGAACTTTTATTTTAGTGGCTACACGCAATTTAGTAAAAAAAGTCGTATTTACTGTCGTTTGTACTGTTGTTCGGGGTAATCTTAGAAACTATTGGACCGATTTTGAAAGTATTGTATATGAAGTAGGGGTAGAATTTCCCGGGGAGTGCTATAGGGTGTATAGTTTTTCGTTACCGATCTTCTGGAAACCGGTTTTTCTAATTTCTTCAATTTTTTGGGAAATAATTGACGGAATCTCACAGAATTATATATGAAACAGGGGTAGAATTTTCCGGGAAGTGATATGAAGTGTATAATTTTTCGTTACCGATCTTTTTTGGAACCGGTATTTTTCCAATTTTTCGGGAAATAATTGACCAAATCTTAAAAAATTGTATATAAAACAGGGGTAGAATTTCCTGGAGAGTGCTATAAACTGTATAGGATTTTTCGGCTCGCGCGCGGAGAATCGCAGCGTGCGAGTAAGCGGGTGCTCGCTGCAAACAAATGCTACGCTGTCTCCATCCTTTTTCTAACATTGGCCGCGTTCAGCAGACACAACTGTTGAGTTCGTCTTATCAACACTATGCGTTGATTGGTTGGTTCTAAAAGTAAGAGCCAATCACGTTCGACTGCTACTCAGCGGCTTGGTCTGCTGAACGCGCCCATTCTTTTGTTTTAAGAATCGTTCACATATATTTTTGAGTTTAACAAAAGGAAATCAGTTTGCGAAGCGCCTTCCCACAGAACAGTCTCCGTAATTGTTGGAAGTGCTTTTTACCCGCCTTTTTGAGTCGCCATTTTATAATGTTGAAAATTTTACTTCAGATTCGTATTCAGCAACCTTGAAAACACATTACCTATGAATTTCATGATTATACATTTAACATTTTTTAAATTATAATCAGTTTTTCGCATTTGTCTTAAAAAAATCGGTTTTTTCGTTTTTTTCCAAAAATAAGTAAGAGCACATAAAATAAATAGGTAAACTTTTCCATTTAATGGTAAAAAAACACTTTTCAAAAGGTTTCAAGTGAATTCATTCTTCGAGAACAAATTTCCAAATAACGCATGGTTTTCGCCTACGTTGCCTGAACTATACCGGAATAGATTACACGGGTCCTTTCTTTATCCGATCGGCGAAAGGAAGAGGCCACAAAACGCATAAAGCTTACTGCGTACTGTTCGTATGCTTAGCGACTCGTGCGATTCACCTTGAGATCGCGGATGATTATACTTCCGACGGTTTCCTAGCGGCCTTCAATAGATTTACGGCCCGCAGAGGCCTACCTAGCATAATTTATAGCGATAATGGAACCAACTTCCAAGGTGCCGACAAGGAACTGACTAGGTATATCCGCGAGATCTTACGAGATCCGGACATACAGAATCATTTTGCGTCTGACGAAATCTCCTGGAAATTTATACCTCCAGCAGCCCCTCAATTCGGAGGACTCTGAGAGGCTGGCGTAAAAAGCGTAAAATTTTATTTGAAAAGAATACTGGGAGAATTTACTTCAACACTACTCTACTCTGTAATATGGAGTGTATCTTAAACTCTCGTCCGATTGCACCATTGTACGACGACCCCGAGAGTTTTGACACGTTAACCCCGGACCACTTCCTTGTTGGATCGTACCTAAAAGCGGTTCCCTCCCCCTAGCGTTGGGGATATAAATCTCAATAGACTATCTCGATGGCAGACGGTGCAACAACTACAGGAACGCTTTGGAAGATCTGGTCATCGGATTATTTAAATTCTCTGCAGCAACAAA